TTTTGTTAATCAAGTGAGCTTGCATTTTCTGGCTTGGGCACCATTGAAATCAACGGTGTGTTTTAGCTTTAAACACCGGAGTTAATTATTCGCGGGCGAGGAGCCAAATAACTTTTAAATAGCTGGACCATCTGACCCTCAACCCCGAAGTAATTTAGGGTTTTTTTTTTATCTTGTTTTCTTGTTTACCACGAAAGTTGACTTCAAATAGCTTTCGAACCCACGAAGCCAACGGATTTAATGTTAATCTAGTTTAATAGGATCCCCCACGACAGAACATCGAAGCCTGTCTTGTTGGTTTTGATTTTCCGTAACACTAAAGCCCTGCAATATAGCATTCACAATTTTGTTCAATATATTGTCAGTTCTGTTTTTTTTTTTTTTTTGGTATTTTTGCATTAAGACCAGCTGACAAGTTATTAAGTGAATGCAGAGACCTAGGTTACGGAGAATGTAATTTAATGCGGCAATTAATGTCGCGTAGAGTTTTTTTTTTTAAATTAAATGTGAAGGAACTTACCATAATGTTGGTACATGTGCAGGAAATGTAAAACCGGAAAACGCGCGCAAATAGCACCGTCAACCTTATACCCGTAGATAGCATGCAAAACCATATCTGACTGACTAATGCAAATCTCGATGCCATTATAAAAGACCTACCTCTTGATATATTTAATGATTTTCTAAAAGATCATCGTGGAGCGAATTATGCAAGGAGACGGCATGTTAACAGGATCTGATGTTGCAATACCCGTAATTCGTAATGAAGATAGGGTGACATCACTGATGACCTTCACCATTTCATTTTATAAATGTATTTCAAGAACTTTAGAACTAAGTCATCATAAAGTGAAGTTAGAGTATTTAGAAACAAAGTCACTAAAAATAAGCAGAAACACCGTAAATGCAACATTATATGGTTTAATCCACTTTTATACGTAATATCAAATTTAATATCGGTAATTTTTTTCTAAATTTTATTCATAAGCACATTCACTAATATTGAAAAAGATTTTTAACAAAGACAATGTTAAGATCAGCTATAGCTGCATTAATAGCATAGACATACCCATCTCCCATCATAACAACATTATATTAAACAAATATATTTCCAAGAAAGAAAACGTAAATTCTTCTAAGAATAAATGCAACTGCCGAAAAAATACGATCGGTCCTTTAAACGGTAAATGTATGACGGATAATATTGTATACTGAGCGGACATACATTCCGGTAACGATGTTAAATTTTATTTTGGTTCCACGAAAAATCCTGGTAAATTTCTTTTTTACCAAATCGAATGACCTTAATTAATTTAAAATACCGAAACAGCACTGCTCACTCCAAATATTTCTGATAATTAAAGAATGAGGACAGCTCATCATCAATTACCTGGGAAATTATATCTAGGTCCAAGGTTTATAATGATAAGGGAAATAAACGGAATTTGGTCTGATTGAAAAATTGGATATCTTAAAACATTTAAACAAGAGAAATGAATCGATTATTACATATAGACATACAAATAAACATCTGCTTAAATACTTTGATCCTGATTAATTTTTAAGTTTTAAGTCTTATGTAAATTACGGTTGATTTTTAATGCAAATTACTATTTATTTACTTGAATATAAATTTATGTTTTTGCTTAAAAAAGAACACGTAATCTCCCTTTAATTAAAATATTTTTGAACAATTTACAAAAAATTAAAATATGAATATTCACCACTAAAATGTAAATTTTAATGTCCTTTTTTTTTACATATATATTTATCCTGCTTATTTTATTCCCAATGTAATTTTTAAATTTAAAAATTAAAAACTGTAATCCTAGCATAATATATAACTACGCCAACATGGTGTCACCAGATATATCAAAATTCAAAATACGTAACGGTCAGTCCATACTTACCTGAAGATTGCGTTGTGCACGAAACTCAGAGTCGTGCTAGCGGTGAGGGATAATATGTACCATTATTAATATATATATATATATATATATATATATATATATATATATATATATATATATATGATGAATATCAAATATATATATATATATATATATATATATATATATATATATATATATATGTATATTAATCCTCCACGAAATTTTCAAAATCGTATCTCAGTACAGTAGTTTTATGACTCTCTGGAGCCTTCTAGAACTTCTTAGAGCTATCTACAACTTTATGGAATCTTCTAGGAGTTTTTGTAGATTTCTATGCTATGCTATAGCTATAAACTGTCACATGAATTAACATACATAAGTACTATCGAATTACATCATTGGCAAATTGAAAAATAAAGCTTTTTCAATTTTGCAATTTTTGTATATTTGTAAGGTTGTATGTTATGCTGTAGCTATAAATTGTTAAATTTGTTAAACAGTACATAAATATTATACGATTACATCATTAGCAAATTGAAAAATAAAATTGATAAATTATTTTGATTTTTTGGCCTTATTGCCAATATGATAAAATCGAATTTTCTGTTTAGAGGGTAACCTTTTTCAAGAATTACAATAAATTTTCTTTTCATTGCTTTTTTATCGAAAGTTTATCGATTCATGACGCAGGAACATTGGGTTACAAATAAGTCATAAACTAATAAATATATATATATATATATATATATATATATATATATATATATATTAATTAGTATATATATATATATATATATATATATTATTATATATATATATATATATATATATATATATATATATATATATATATATATATATATTAATTAGTACATATAGGTGCACACCAAAACGTAGGTACACGTATATTTACTAATTAATATATATCTTTACTCTGTATAACATAATGTTTATGTTTATGTTATTATGTTTACATCATGCATAAATTTAATGATTATTTATTTACTTGACCGCACATGATCGCCAGCACGCGCGTATAACCTTGCTTATATCTAGCCGTTTGATATATCTATATATCAGCTCCTCAGTGCGACTAGACATCCCAATGTCTCAAGTCCGGATCGAAACCTAACCTATTTGGTGTGAGTCAGAGTTACTACCACTGAGCTATCCTCATTCGACAGAGAATATAAACAAATGTCAATCAGCCGGAGTGCTCCAATTCATTTTACTGAAGAGCTTTCCATTAACGCAGGTGTCTGTTGTTTATAGAATTAGCTTATCACTCAATTTGCGACTTCTGCAATGAAGTTTCTAAGAAAAGCGATTACAGACCTTCTGCAGCAATTATGTTTTAACTTGCATTGCCATGTTTAAATCGGTTTGAAGAGTGCCGTATATAAAAGGGACTGACTTCAGCGAATTATGTCATATATTTTTACCTGAACTCATTATAAAATTTAAAGTATGTAAAATCAGGAAAATGTAACGAGGTTGACTGATAAAGATTTGAAAGCAATTCTCTTGGTTGGATGCAGCAATACCAAAACAAATATTAATTATATCTTAAATCTTAAAAGGTAAACGCCAGTATTATAAATCTCACTAATCTTTTGTGCTGCTTAGTTTGTGAGATTCGGATATGTGTGCACTGAGTGTGATATAAATATTTTATTGCTATTGTTGCCTTCTTAGATAACATTTTAGTAAAAAAGTATATTTGTTGTCATCATTTTTTGTGTATTTAGTGTATTGTATTGAATAAAATGATTATCTAGCTCGCGTTCGCTATTTTTTCAGTTATCTGGCTATATGTGAAAAATGTTTGGTGACTCCTGTTTTTGATTGAAATCAATTTTTCATTCATTCTGTAATTATATTGAGAAAGATGGGTTTTTTTTAATTTCAAATTCGTGTAAAAGATGAGCGTGTTGAATATAACACTGACTTTCATTGTTCCTGTTAAATGATAAGGGTCTAAATACATTTTCTTTCTCACACTTTGATAACGTCAACCAACAAAACAGAATTATTTATGATAGTCAATAATCATTATTTCACACTGTTAATCAAAGATTATAGACACGTTTCTATGAATTTAATTTAATTAAACATGTTTTCATTTAATTTAATTCTTTTCTTCATGATCTCAGGTAACTTAATAAAGTTATCCTACTTCTTCTATGCGATGTGTCCCCTTGAGTACTTGTGTAATTATGGCTCTCCACAACTTCCTATTCTTTGTAGCTCTTGGCAAAGATTGCTATTCTACTATATCTCATAATCTTTGTTATGCCAACAATTTACACAGGCTCGTTATTCTTTTTCTTCTATGCGCCGTGTGCCTTCAAAACGTGGGCAATCATGGCTCTCCACAACTTCCTATTCTTTTAGCTCTTAGCAAAGATTGTCTTATCTCTCCTAATCCTTGTACTACCAACAATTTACAAACGCTCGTTATCCTTCTTCTATGTGCCGTGTATCTTCAGTACTGAACAATCATGGCTCTCCACAACTTCCTATCCTGTGAAATTGAAATTCAGGTCAATATTTATACAAGTAAGAAAGTACAAATGAAAAGATTAGAAACTACCAAGGTTTTCTACTTCACTGAAGCAGACGTTAAACACACGAGTGTATTATCGCCTCCTCTATGTTCTTTCTTTCTTTTCTACTTTCTTTTTCCCGCTGAGATCAAACAGCGTCTCTGGTATGCCTTTTTCGTCCTTCCACAGTGTTATGCTCCAAGTTCCTTGTACCACGGTGATGGTCCAAGGTTAGAACCAATGAAAGAATAACACGAACACAGGTATGGAATACAAAGATATATTACAACAGAAATATAATACAAAGAAGTAGAAGTATTAGTAATGACTATCAGATTTGGTTAGAGTGAACTGTGTTGTCTCGACAAGTATCACTATTCCAATGTCCTTACAATATGCTCTCAATTATCTCTCCTCGTCTTACAACCTCCTCATACCTCTTGAGACGCGCAGTATTTATAATGACAGGAATAGTCCATTATTATTATGGGTAAGTTCCCATAACACACAGATAGAAAACCAACAGATAGATACATACATACATACACAGATATAAACCAACTGAGATAGATAGATAGATAGATAGATAGATAGATAGATAGATAGATAGATATAAACAGACTGCGATAGATACATAAATAGATAGGAACAGACTGACATAGAACAGCTTTGGCAAAATATTGCAATAGCAAGCAAAAATTGAAATGCAGGTCAATATTTATAAAAGTAAGACAGTACAAATGAAAAGATTAGAAATTGCCAATGTTTTCTACTTCACTGAAGCAGACGTTAAACACACGGGTGTATTATCGCCTCCTCTATGTCCCTTCTTTCTTTTCTACTTTCTTTTTCACGCTGAAATCAAACAGCGTCTTTGATATGCCTTTTTCGTCCTTCCACAGATAGAAAACCAACAGATAAATGGATGCATACATACACAGATATAAACCAACTGAGATAGATAGATAGATAGATAGATAGATAGATAGATAGATAAGAACAGACTGGCATAGAACAGCTTTGGCAAAATATTGCAATAGCAAGCATCAATGTGAATACAAGTCATAATTTCGTAAAGTAAGAGGGTTCAAATGAAAAGATTAGAAATTACCAAGTTTTCCACTTCAATGACGTAGGCGTTAAAGACATGAGTGCATTACCACCCTCTCTATCCTCATTTCCCTCTTTTCTACTTTCTTTTTTTTACACTGACATCAAACGGCATCACTGAGATGTCTTTCCGTCTTTCTACGCGATCAAAACGGAATAGTCCATTATTCATGAAATATTAACAGGACGTGACGTACACGCTAAGGAACAATCAGAATTATAATATGCTAATAAACTATGCTAATAATATGACAATATGCTAAATACTATGATAATAATATGCTAATAAGTCCTCATGTAAGAAATTCAAACAGTACTTTTCTTGGTTTATGGGTAAAAAATCTTGTCTGTCTCTCTGAAGTGGCTCATACAACTGCACAAAAACATGGCGTCATACAATCATAACTTCCTCAGCTTCCATTTATAACCACATCTTAATAGGCTTCGCTTGACACAAGGCAGACTTGCATATAGGTGCCTTGAAGCGTAATTGCATTATATTTTCCGTTTGAAAATGCTTTGTTTAGTTAATGCCTTCATACTTTTATGGATTCTTTTCGGGGTTTTTTTTTATTTTCGTAAATGTGTTTTTCTTCTTGAGATTACTGTCATTTTTTGATTTTTCAATTTGACAGTTCGTCTCTGTTTTTGGCAAAGATTCGACTCTAAATGGTGTTCAGATGAATGACGGTTTGCCTGATTTGCGCTTGGAAAGTATCGAGCAATAGCGGCATAGAAATAGACGGACAAAATAAGAAAATAGGCATAGTTGCATTTAGATACAAAGTGAACTTACAGAGATAAATGACTTGCTGAGATAGATAGATAGATAGATAGATAGTGAGAGAGAGAGAGAGAACTGTCTGAGATAGATAGATACAGAGAGAGAACTGTCTGAGATAGATATATAGAAGGAGAGAGAAAACTGTCAGATATATATATATAGAGAACTGTCTGAAATAGATAGAAAGAAAGAAAGAAAAGAAAGAAAGAGATAAAAAAGAGATAAAAAATGTCTGAGATAGATAGATAGATAGATAGATAACTATCTGATTTGGTTTGGTTTCCGGCATATCAATCTCAATGGGTTATTTAAAGCCGACAAGATTTTTATTTCTGGTAATATTTGTTTTCCAAAAATGTATTGCTGGTAATAATTTTTTCTTCAAAAATTAATTGCAGGTAGTAATTTTTACAAAAATGTATTACTGGTATGAAAACCTATTTTTTTGACCCCAGTTTGGGGTTAACTATTTGCCCGTAGCTGGGACCCTAACAGGTGGAGAACTGTCTGAGATAGATAGATAGATAGATAGATAGATAGATAGATAGATAGATAGATAGATAGATAGATATTGCAGCCAGTGCTATTCGATTACGTTTAGCTCTAGATTTGAGCTGGTTAAGACTGTAATGATCTTGAAAACATCATCTTGTTAGTGGGTGCCACAGTGCAGCAGTTCGCGGGAAGAGGCTGCTCAAGTGGAACTTATATCTCACCAATGGAATACGAAAGGAAAGATTCGCGGTTCACTACAATGTGCGTAGCATAGCGGGTCTAAGGGTTAGAAATGGTGGAACTAAGGAATGTAGTTCGTCTGAGTATTTTCCATCGAAATAGCGATAGAGCAGTGAGAGGCTTGCGATTTTTCTTCTGTGGGGGCGGGGGTTGTAGGAAGAAAAATAATTTAATGATCCACAAGGACACAGAGACGCTCTTGAACTGAAAAGTGACGACTGGCTGCGATACTTCATTTTCGGCCTGGTCTGGCTCTTGTAAAGGGAAAGGATAGCACTAAGAGTTAGGTTCTTAATGGAGTGGTACAGAGACCCGATCACTTTTCCAGTATCTTTAGCGATGGTTCGTATGTACGAGCTCCACTTGAGGTCTGGGTTGAATGGGTCGTATGTACGAGCTCCACTTGAGGTCTGGGTTGAATGGGTCGTATGTACGAGCTCCACTTGAGGTCTGGGTTAAATGGGGCGTATGTACGAGCTCCACTTGAAGTCTGGGTTGAATGGGTCGTATGTACGAGCTCCACTTGAGGTCTGGGTTGAATGAGCCGTATGTACGAGCTCCACTTGAGGTCTGGGTTGAATTGGTCGTATGTACGAATTCCAATTATGGTCTGGGTTGAATTGGTCATATGTACGAACTCCACTTGAGGTCTGGGTTGAATGGGTCGTATGTACGAGCTCCACTTGTGGTCTGGGTTGAATGGGTCGTATGTACGAGTTCCCCTTGAGGTCTGGGTTGAATGGGTCGTATGTACGAGTTCCACTTGAGGTCTGGGTTGAATTGGTCGTATGTACGAGCTCCATTAGAGGTCTGGGTTGAATGGGTCGTATGTACGAGCTCCCCTTGAGGTCTGGGTTGAATGGGTCGTATGTACGAGCTCCACTTGAAGTCTGGGTTGAATTGGTCGTATATACGAACTCTAATTATGGTCTGGGTTGAATTGGTCATATGTACGAACTCCACTTGTGGTCTGGGTTGAATGGGTCGTATGTACGAGCTCCCCTTGAGGTCTGGGTTGAATGGGTCGTATGTACGAGCTCCCCTTGAGGTCTGGGTTGAATGGGTCGTATGTACGAGCTCCCCTTGAGGTCTGGATTGAATGGGTCGTATGTACGAGCTCCACTTGAGGTCTGGGTTGAATAGGTTGTATGTACGAGCTCCACTTGAGGTCTGGGTTGAATTGGTCGTATGTACAAACTCTACTTGTGGTCTGAGTTGAATGGGTCGTATGTATGAGCTCCACTTGAGGTCTGGGTTGAATGGGTCGTATGTACGAGCTCCACTTGAGGTCTGGGTCCCAATAGGTGCTCCAGGAATGTAGCTTCCGTGAGGGAACATCCATTCATTGTGATTGGTGATAGTCCAGGCTCTGGCTGGCGACGATATAATGTAACTAGTTTGGTTTTCGAAGCATTGAATGTTACCAGCCAGTTTTTTCCCCACTGAGATATTAGATTAAGGTCCGAGGAGAGATCAGCTGCCAATCTGTATTAACACGTTTAAACCCCTCGGGTCGGATTCAGCTGTAACGTTTAAAATATCCACTTTCATTCTCCAAAATAAAGAGCTTAAAGAAAGAAACAGAGAAAAGACGGCAAAATCTTTTTGACGTTCTCAGAAAGGGTAAAAATTGATTTCGGGAAGTTAAAAAAAGTTTGTCTGGTTTGTTGTTTTGCCAAATTCAATATTCAATTTTCTGATTCCTTTGAAAAACCAAGCGTCATATTATATTGTAATATTTTAGCAACGTTGCTACAATGTCTAGCGTTAGTTTCTTTAAATATGTGCCCTATTGTAACGTTTCCTCTTATCCAGAACTAATAGAGTTACTAGGTTGAAAGTTTTCATTCTAAATGGACAATGAGGTCCGAAATTTTGTCTTTTTGCAAATATTTTCACGTTAGTCACGCTTGATAAAACTGTCTGGTCAAAGTAACCTAAATATCTTTCTTTTTTTTTTTCCTCCCGAGAGTACATCGATTTTCTTTTTTCAAGCTACTAAAAAGTTTATCACGGATTTTGCTTCCTTCCATAAAAGACGATATAATTAGAAAAAAATATGGTACACTATAATGAACATATTTCAAGCCAAACAACGAGAATATATTAAATCTTTTCAGGGTTAACTTTTCTTTTTCTAGAAAGAAAAAATAAATAAAAAATACACCAGACATGTTTTCTTCAAGGTGGGTTCAAAGAATTAGAAATATATTAACAAAGTTAGAAAAAGACAAATGTAAATCCGATCGAAATATTTTTCTTCTAGAATTCACCTAATGCGTGGCGCGAGAGACATTCTAGATAGAGTATCGCTCTTAAAATGGTTATGATGACTGTGCGTGTGTGATATGAATGAAAGAGGAGGGCTGATGATTACGGGAATAAGGAGGATATATAACGATTGATTATTGACTTGATGTATTATATTGGTGAGATGTAAGTGCCAATCGAGCAGCTTCTTTTCCAAGAAACGCTGCTTTGTGGAACCGTATTCCAAGATGATGTTTCCTCTATCACTATAATCTTAATCTTGTTTCAAATTTGTATTTTTTGTCGTGATTAAATATCATTACCATTTGGCCATTTCTTATCATTTATGTTTGTAAATATTGTATATTTTATTTGCAGCACAATCTTAAATATTCACGCAGCCTTCCTAAATCCACTACATATATTAATTTTTCACTAGTATCCGTTTTGGTTGGAATTAAAGCAGTTGTGTCAGTATTATCATCATTACAAGGACTTGAATCCAAAAATGCTGGTTTGAGTCTGTCAATGCTGACAGTTAAAGATTTCTCATTAATGTTTACAGTGAAATATTTGGGTGCATGGGAAATAACCCTGTAAGGACCAGCATACGGTGGCGTCAGAGGTTTTTAACAGAGTCCTGAATATTTCAACCTGTTCAAATCTACGGTTAACCATTAATCTTGCAACCTCTCACAGATGTGGCATGCCTCTTACTGCTCTGTCGTTACTTCCATGGAAAATTCTTAGACAAACATTTCTTAGTTCCACCAGTCCTAACTTTCACGGCTAGGACCCGCCATGCTACTCACATTGCATCGAACCACTCCGTATTCCACTGGTGAGACGTAAGTTCCTCTCGAGAAGCTTCTTCCCGTAAACAATTGCTCTGTGGAACCGACTCCCATGATAATGCTTTACGGATCACTACAATCGTAACCTTTTCAAATCCAGGTTTAATCGTTATCTTTTCCCGCATAACTTGTGTTTCTTACTCTGTAACACTCTACTTCGAATGGCCCCCGGGCCTTGAACAGGTTGAATATCATTATAAAAAAAAGTAAATTTAACTTGTTACGCGGAAAATACAGGGTTTGTCCATAAGTTCCCATGCGGATGGAATTCTGTGAACGAGCATTTACCAAAATGAACGAGGATGCAAACTTTTCAACGAAGATTTTGTTTACTGAAAAAGCAAATTTTTGCGTCAGTAGGTTAATCGGCAAACCCTACTTTATTGGCGTAAAGTGAACCCTAACTGGCTAAGTCCGACAAAGGTGCCGGTAAGTTGATGGTGTGGGCCGGAATATGGGGTGACAGAATTATTGGACCGTTTTTGTCCGTGAAAATCTTAATGTAGAAAAGTATCTTAACATGTTGCAAGAGGAAATTCTCCCATCCCTGTTAAACGGAGAAGGTGATTACTCAGTTTACTTCCAGCAAGACGGAGCTCCACCTCATTAGGGTCATCAAGTGCGTCAGTATTTGGATCAGCAGTTTCCTGAGGCGTGGATTGGGCGGCGTGGTCCTGTCGAGTGGCCTCTAAGAACCCCAGATCTCTCCCTCCTTGATTTCTATCTTTCGGTGCACTTGAAGGCTATTGAATATACGAGACATGAATCATCTCAAGCATAATTTCAACTGTGCTAATTGTTATATAGGAATAAAGTGTTGCTGCTGACACTGGGATTTGAACATAGATCGCCGGTGAGCAAACAAAGGCGATTCCCATTTTGAATTAAGTAGATCATGTGACCATAAAGCACATGCATAAGTAGGAGGTAGCGTGATGTCTAAACGATCACATTTCTATTCTATCTTCTATTACTATACGGATCACTCTTTCTACACTATCCTCTATTTCTATACTGATCACTATACGAATTACTTCTCGGTGGCTACGATTCGAGTATTATAAAACAAGTACTATTCGTGTTGGTGATATTTGAAGGCGTCTGACACCAGCATTGTTCAACGGCGTTACTATAATTGTATCTGCGATTACAAAACCTCTACTACAACGGACATTACGAAAGTGACAGTGAGTATTCGTTGACATTACAAATGTCTACGTGTGTCCATTGACATCACAAAACGAATACGTGTTCACCAACAGAGGAAAACACGTTTTAATATGAGTTTTCGAAACAATAGTAATCATATAGATCACATTATATAAATAAAAACGGTCGTCCAACATAAAACGTTTCATTTTTTTTTTCTATTTATGAAAACTTATGGCTCACCTTGTAGTTTGGCTTGTAATCTTACCATAACAGAAAATTAATTATATAATCCCGAATGATATTAGAATGTCCATTCAGCATCTAAGTTATTCTCACTTAAAAATATAGGAAAAGCAGTTTTATATCTTCTATGAATATGTTTAATACACTATGATGTTTTCCTGACCAATGCGGAAATTTTCAGCTACCACACTTCGTAACGATACCATGAGGAGCCTAAGGACGCTCCAAAAAGCTTCTTGATTTGAGTGTCTATTGCAAACCAAGTTTGCTTCAAATCTCAAGTGAAACATATCTATTGCTAAGGATGCTGAGAAAATTGTCTACTCCCTAGTCTGGACGTAGACAATCA